GTTCATTCAATGTTTAGCTATTTCATGCTAATTATAGAATGCACTCCTGCTTCGCTTGAACTGAGGCAAAGCGGGAGCACGCGTGAACCGTCACGCCACTAAAGAGCTCCAAAACTGTATCCTTTGAAATTCTTAATACAGCTAATAGAATTTGAATGCTGAGACTTTGTTTCCTATTATCAAAAGTGACCTGCTCTGCGATGTTTTTCACTCCGTAAGAAGATGAACACCAGACGCGTCACATCCTTGAGTTCGAGGATAAAATAAATGCTTCTTTCAGTACGATGAAACAAAGAAAATGAAATAGTAGCATCTTAATTATTGGGGTGGCCGATCAGATGTCAGAAAAACAAAACAAAAAAAAAACACGAATGAAGACTCTGATTTGAATACCGGATGTTTGTAATAGGCATCCTTATGTGTTCGAAAACAAAGAGAAATTCGGTGGCAACAGAACCAGTAAGTAAATGAGCACAATTTATGTTTTCATTACATCTTTTTATTATCTTGATGTTGTATATGTATATGCATTAATCATTTTGGTAACGTACATCTATAAATATCTAAATGTAGGCTAATGAAATAATTATACTACAAGTGATTTATCTCACATGGCAACCACAATGTTCACAAGGAGTTTGCTTTAAAACGGTGTAAATGCCTTCTTCAAACCAGCTATGGAACACCAAAATAGAGCTGTTTCCACGGTAACCTCTGTACACTAAGCAGCATCTATTAAGCATAGAAATCAGAGTGTTCTCTTTAATTATGTATAATTAGGCCTATATAATTTTACCTCTAATGAGACAATCGAAAACTATCAAAATCATGGAAGCTAAAGTAATAAAATTATAACGCAGTAAAGTGAGTTACGGCACATACGTTTTAAGACGTGTTACGTCACTTTGCACATGCGCACTAACACATGCGTGATGTCAAAATACATGACGTCACCGCGCTACAGTCTGCATAATGTTTTGATCTTTTAGACATATTCAAAGGAGTGCCATAAAAATCGTTCAGACCACAGTTCAAAGAGATGCAACTTTAAGCATTTTGTTACATCTACACTGACCTCATGAAGCTCAATATTTCAACTCTGTTATGGCTAATCTCTCCTAATAAGGGTGATGACCTTTTTTTTTTTAATTATGTGTAATTTCTGAAACTAAGCGATACTATCAGAATTTACTCAGTTAAGTATGTGAATTATAGACTGACTGTGATGGGGTTGAAATAATGTAGAGCTTTAGGGTTAGAGGTAAATAACTATTGGCATTTATTATACTATGTTTTCATTATGTAGACATTTTTTTAGAAAATGCTTTTGAGAATCTAGAATTTTTATCTGTCCCTTACTTTCTATTTAACCATGTTATAATGCAACATTCCTCCCCCTCCCCCGATATTTTTGAAAGTAGTGACATCAAAGTCTGCAATTTCTTACAAGGCACACAGAAAGTGATACTATCAGAATTTACTGTAATCTAAATATATGAATTAAAGACTCTCTGTGATGGGGTTGAAATAATGTAGTTCTTTAGAGTTGGTAATGATGAATAACTACTGGCTGTAACTACTTAAGCAGGATTGGTTTAAGAATCAAGCAGTGAAATATACAGTAACAGTTTCCTGCGAATGGGCCGTTTATTTTAAATTCCACTTGTTTTTAATGTGTGCAGGTGAAATGGGCCTCAAAGGAGACAAAGGAGATACAGGTTTAACCGGGCTGAAAGGAGACCCAGGGGGCAGGGGCCCGGCTGGAATGGAACATAGGGAGAGGTGGGCGAGCCTGGCATACAAGGACCAGCTGGCCCCCCCGGACCAGATGGCATCAAGAGAGAGAAGGGTGACAAAAGAGGCTGTCTATTTGGAGAGAAAGGACAGAAAGGCAGTATGGGGGAGCCAGTGCTAGAGACCTGCACTCGGAGTACCGCAGGACCCAACGCAACAGGGTGCGGCGCGGGACAACTCTTGATGGGCGAGTGCGGGTGCGGGCGGGAAGAGACCTCCGCTTCGTCCACGGTGAAAGCCGATCCGGCGATAGACAGCGTGAAGTTGATGTATTTTCTCAGCGACCAGCAAGGATCAGCTCCAGGCATGACGAAGTGGATATTGTCCTCTTTTGGAATTAATCGCATCATATGACCCCTTTAAGTTAGAATCTACTCACCACAGTGCTGAAATTGCATGCTAACGAATCCTTTTATTTTAACACATGAAGTGTAGACACTGTGAAAGATTCATTGTGCATATATTTATTTATAGATCGCGATTAACTGAGATGTCAGCTTTTAGTGATAATAAAGGAAGCGCGCTGCTCGCATTCTGCCATGCCAAACCATGCACGCAGCAGCCCATGCTTGCTTTTCTGTTAAAAATAACATGGTTTGTGAATGTTGGTTGATAGCCTAAATAACAAATATTTTATTGGGAG